GAGTGGAGTTACTAATGAGGGGTGTAGGGCTTACTTAGACGAGATTAATAAGTTCTAGACATCCGCTATATACAATATGGTACATATAGTCAACAACAGTGTATTGTTCACTTGAGAATTTTGCTTAAGTAATAATAACAATTTCCTTTAAAAAAAACAGTTGACCTAGATGTGTGAGTTGATTTTTGGACTCTGGGTTCTCTTCCATTGTTATCTGTGTCTGTCCTTATGCCAGCACCACAGTGATCTGCAGTTGGTTTTGAAGTTGGGAGGTGTAGTGCTTCAACTCTGCTCTTCTGCAAGGTCATTTCTGGCTCTTTAGGGGTCCATGCAGTCCTACATGAATTTTAGAATTAGCGTTTCCATTTCTGCACAAAAGACCATTGAGATTTTGCTAGGGGCTGCATTGAATCTGTAGATTACTTTAGGGACTATTGCCTTCTTATGATTGTTATGTCTTCCTACCCCATGAATATGGGGGTATCTTTCCATTTATTTAATTTAAATTTTTTTTTTATTTAGTGATGTCTTCAGTTTTCAACATTGAATCTTATACACCTTGGCTAAATTATTCTAAGTAATTATGTTTTTGTGTGATGCTGGGATAAAACTTCGTGAATGCTAGCAAGTGTCACCACTGAGCTTACATTCCTAGCCCTTTACACGACAAAACAAGTTTATTTTGAGACAGGATCCTTGCTGAATTGGTCCAGGCTGGCCTGAAATTGTGATCATCCTGCCTCAGCCTCTCTTTCAATGCTGTTTTTCATGAACTGTTTTCAAATTTTCCTTTGTGGTTCATTCATTCATAGTATATAGAAATAGAACAGATTTTTGTATTGATCTTTTTCTGAATTCATTTTATGTAATTTTCTAAAGTCTTAATTAACTCCAGTAGTTTTGTGGTCTGATAATTTTCTAAGTATAGGATCACGTCACCTTGAAGAGAGACAATTTTATTTCTTCCTAGTTGGAGCCTTTAATTTTTATTGGGTCCATGCAGTCCTACATGAATTTTAGAATTAGCGTTTCCATTTCTGCACAAAAGACCATTGAGATTTTGCTAGGGGCTGCATTGAATCTGTAGATTACTTTAGGGACTATTGCCTTCTTATCATTGTTATGTCTTCCTACCCATGAATATGGGGGTATCTTTCCATTTATTTATATTTAAATTTTTTTTTTTATTTAGTGATGTCTTCCAGTTTTCAACATTGAATCTTATACCCCCTTGGCTAAATTTATTCCTAAGTATTCTGTTTTTGTGTGATGCTGGGATTAAACTTCGTGAATGCTAAGCAAGTGCTGCACCACTGAGCTACATCCCTAGCCCTTTAAGACAAAAAAAAGTTTATTTTGAGACAGGATCCTGCTGAATTGTCCAGGCTGGCCTGAAACTTGTGATCCTCCTGCCTCAGCCTCCTGAGTAGCTAGATATGTGTATCCCCGTGCCCAGCTAAGTATTCTTGTCTTTCAATGCTGTTTTTCATGAACTTGTTTTCAAATTTTCCTTTGTGGTTCATTTATTCATAGTATATAGAAATAGAACAGATTTTTTTGTATTGATCTTTTTCTGAATTCATTTTTATGTAATTTTTCTAAATTCGTTAATTAACTCCAGTAGTTTTTTGTGGGTTCTGTATAATTTTCTAAGTATAGGATCACGTCACCTTGAAGAGAGACAATTTTATTTCTTCCTAGGTTGGATGCCTTTAATTTTTATTTCTAATTACTCTGACTATAATGTCCAGGACAGGGTTGATAGACGTTGTGAAATCAGGCATCCTTGTTTTGTTACTGATTTAAGGCAGAAAGCTTCAGTCTTCAGCTGTCATACAAAAAGCTTTCCTTTCCATTTTTAAGAACATCTTTTTCCAGCACTTCGTACTCTCCATCCCCTGTCTAAAAAACAGTTTCACCTGCGTGTATTTATTGAGCTATTGCTGTGCATGCACAAAATTCTGATACATGCTGAGTAACTTGACAGACATCAGTCATGATCACTCCTCCTGATATGCATATAATCTGAGATTAGCTGTACATTTTTTCAATAGTGTATTTGAATATATATTAAATATTAGTACTCAATATTTTTAAGTCTTCAAAAAAGGAATTAATACAGTAATGTCAATACATGCAAGAAAAGCATTTGACAAAATTTAGCATTCTTTGTAGTAAAGAAGTGTCAACAAATTTGCCCTAGAAGGAATGTACCTCAACAAAATAAAGGTCATATATAATAAAACCACAGCTCACATCATACTCAGTGGAAAAAATGGCATCTTTTCTTGTAAGATCAGGAACAACACAAGGATACTCACTGTCACTACCACTGTTCAGCATAGTACTGGAAGTACTGGCCAGAAAGACAAATAAAAAAGAAAAGAAATCTAAGTGTTCCAAAATCTGTTTGTTGTTCCTATATGTAAAGAGCTTTAAAGACAGCACAACACACACACACACACACACACACACACACACACACACACACACTCTCTCTGGTGGAACTAACAAATGAATCCAGCAAAGATGTAGGATTAAAAATCAACATACAGAAATTGTATTTCTATACACCAACAACAAACTTTCTGGAAAGGAAATTAAGAAAATCCCACATGCAGTAGTGGTAATAAATAAATAAATACTTAGGAACAAATTTAAGCATGGAAATCAAAGACGTGCGTATTAAGAAATATAAACCATTGGAAAGAAATTTAAAAGGGCTGCACAAATAAATGGAAAGATGTCCCAGGTTCAGGGACTGGGATAATTAATATTGTTAGAGTGTCCATATAACAGTTTATCTATAGTATCAATATAATCACTATCAAAACTCCAATGACATTTTTCATAGAAACAGAAAAAAAAACCCTAAAATTCATATGCAACCCTGAAAGATTCCAGACAGATAAAGCAATCTTTCAAGATGAAGCTGGAGGCTTCATCTTAAATCCCTGATTTAAAATTATAAAGCCATATTAGTCAGAACAGCATATTGGCATAAGAACACACAAGACAAACTGATCAATGGAACAGAATAGAAATTCCAGGAATAAACCCATGCATGTAAGATCAGCCAGTCTTTGAAGAAGACATCAAGAATACATATGGGGAAGGTATAATGTCTTCAACATACGAGGTTGGGACAGCTGGATCTCCATGTGCATGAAAAAAAAATTGAGTCCATATCTTACCCCATATATAAAGATCGACTCTTACTGAATTAAACACTTCAACATGACACCCCACGGTATAAAAAACAATTGGAAGACTTCATGATACTGGTCTTGGCAGTGATTTTCAGGGTGTGATGCTAACAGCATCAAAAGCAAAAGTAAGTGGGCTTACATGAAACTAAAATGTTTCTACCCAGCAAAGAAAACAATCAACAAAGTGAAATGGCACTCTACAAAATGAAGAAAAATAACTACAAACTTTCTATCCAGTAATAAACCACATACCTAAAATGTGTAGGGAACTCATAAAACAAGAGCAAAAACCAGACAACCCAATTAGAAATGATAAAGGGCCTGAGGAGACATTTTTCTGAAGAAGACATAGCAGTGGCCCACAGGTATATGACAGGGTGCTCAACATTGAGTCACCAGGAAATACAATTCAAAAATACAATGCAATATCGCCCCATTCCTGTTAGGGTGACTGTTATGAAAAAGTCAAAGGATAAGTGTTGGTAAGGATGTGGTGGAAAGGGAACTCCTGCACACTGCTGGAGGGAATGTAGTGTGGAGAAGCTTCAGAATATTAGAAGTAGAACTGACAAGCGATCCAGTAATTACATTATGAAATTAGCATCTCCAGGAGGTTCTGCAGCAATGCTAGCATCTTACGCTCATTGCAGCATTATTCTCAGTAGCTAAGGTGTGGAAAGAACTTAGTGACATTGAAAGATGAATGGCTAAAGAAGAAGTGGTATGGATACAATGTGGTAGGTGTGTATACATAATGCAGTGTTACTGTTTTAAAAAGAAGACAAGCCTTCCACTTGGAGCAATATGTACAGACCTGGAGGGTATTATGCAAAGCAATATGAGCCAGACACAGAAAGACAAATGCTGCATGTGAACTCTAAAAAAACCTCAGGGAGTTGAAGGATGATTCCCCAGGGGTTGGACTGGGAGAAATGGTAGATGTTGAAGAGTGTTCACATTTAGTTCTAAGTTGAATCAGTTCTAGAGATGCAATGTACTTTAAAGTGACTGTGTGCTTGTAATGTCCTAAGAGAGTAGATCTTAAGTGTTCTCATCATCCACACAAAATGGTTACTGTGTGAGGTGATGGGTTAATAAGCTACCTTGTAATCATTTCACAATATATACATTATAGAAACACGTTGATATCTTAAATATATAGTTATTTGTCAACTATATCTCAATAAAGCTGGAAAAAGGTTTATTTTTTAAAAAAGAGTGGGATTTCTTCTCTGGCCGCATTAAGAAATGGCCAAAGAAGTGAGGAGATTTTTTTTTATTTCAAGATTGTAGAAGCAAGCAGGAAACTGCAATAAGTGATTTATGTGAATATTTAAACAGCATTTGTTCAAATGCATCAAATAGGGTTAATAGAGATACCATTTCCTGATTGTAGAGGAATAATGGTTTAGGGGTCCTGTGGTTTGGCAAGGTCCTTTGAAGAGCCCTTGTGATGTGATGGTATGGCCCTTAATGATAACTGCTCTGACATCCAAAGCATGGTAGACAGGGAATGAGAGGGAGAAAAGGGCAGTCAGCACTGCAGCCTGACACTTCCTTCATTTCCTGATAGGTAACTGATGCCACATATGCTTAGTGGTTTTTGTTGTTGTTGTTTTGTCTTATCGTATGAATTCAGTCTGGAGTCTTCTTACATACATTGTAGACTACATGTTTAAATGTAATAACTTTTAGAGCTGCAAGATTTATGTTGTTTTATTCACCAAATTTCCTTCTGCCACATTCTTCTAGCACACAATAAAGGAAATACATTTTCTTGATATATTTCAGGCCAGAAATCTGTATATGAGACCCAGGAATTACTTACAAAACAGGATTCATATGCTGAAGGGGTAACAGACAGAACTTCAAACACGAAACTTGAGTGTTCCACTTTCAGAGAAAATTGGGATTCTGAGAGTGTGTTTGAAAGGAAGCTGATAAGTGAAGAGACACCATGCAGGCAAGCAGCAGCAAGTCAGAGTAGAGCCCTCCCGAAGGGGAGAGAGCACATGTACAACAAGCCTGGTAGGTGGTTCCATTTGGATGATTTGGAAGAGAGAGTTCACAGTCCTGATTCAGGCAAAAGCTTCCCCCCAAATCCAGTAATCTATGCAGGAAAAAAGCTTTTCAAATGTAATGAGTGTAAGAAAACTTTTACCCAGAGCTCATCCCTCACTGTTCACCTGAGAATTCATACTGGAGAGAAGCCCTATAAGTGTAACGATTGTGGAAAGGCCTTTAGTGATGGTTCATCCTTTGCTCGACATCAGCGATGTCACACAGGCAAGAAGCCCTATGAGTGCATTGAGTGTGGGAAAGCCTTCATACAGAACACGTCCTTGATTCGTCACTGGAGGTACTATCACACTGGAGAAAAGCCCTTCGATTGCATCGACTGTGGAAAGGCCTTCAGTGATCACATCGGGCTTAATCAGCACAGGAGAATTCACACTGGAGAGAAACCTTACAAATGTGACGTCTGTCACAAGTCCTTCAGGTATGGCTCATCTCTTACTGTACACCAAAGGATTCATACTGGGGAGAAGCCGTATGAGTGTGAGATTTGCAGAAAAGCCTTCAGCCATCATGCATCACTCACACAGCATCAAAGGGTGCATTCTGGAGAAAAGCCTTTCAAGTGTAAAGAGTGTGGAAAAGCTTTCAGGCAGAACATACACCTCGCTAGTCACTTGAGGATCCACACTGGCGAGAAGCCCTTCGAATGTGGGGAATGTGGGAAATCCTTCAGCATCAGCTCACAGCTCGCCACTCATCAGAGAATTCACACGGGAGAGAAGCCCTATGCGTGCAAGGTTTGCAGCAAAGCATTCACCCAGAAGGCTCACCTTGCACAGCACCAGAAAACTCACACTGGAGAGAGGCCATACGAGTGTAAGGAGTGTGGCAAAGCCTTCAGCCAGACCACACACCTCATTCAGCATCAGAGGGTCCACACTGGGGAGAAGCCCTACAAATGTGTGGAATGCGGGAAGGCCTTTGGGGATAACTCGTCCTGCACTCAGCATCAGAGGCTTCATACTGGCCAAAGGCCTTATGAGTGTATTGAGTGTGGGAAGGCATTCAAGACAAAGTCATCCCTTATTTGTCACCGGAGAAGTCACACTGGAGAGAAACCTTATGAGTGTAGTGCATGTGGCAAAGCCTTCAGCCATCGGCAGTCCCTCAGTGTTCATCAGAGGATTCATTCTGGGAAGAAACCATATGAGTGCAAGGAATGTAAGAAGACCTTCGTCCAAATCGGACACCTTAACCAGCACAAGAGAGTACATACTGGAGAGAGAGCCTGTAATTACAAGAGAAGCAGAAGAGCCTTCCGGCAGATGGCACACCTGGCTCTCCATCACCGGGTCCACCCCTGGGGAGTCATCGCCATGCCCCTCTTTGCCCTCCATGTCAAATCCTGTCGATGTGTTCCCCAACTTTGTCTGGAGTCCATCCTCACTACCATCATCATAGTCTCAGAGCATCACCATTTCAGCTACACTACAGTCATTTAAAATTCATCTCTTGGACTTTGGTTTGTTTTTGTTACATATGCGTTTGTTTTTCACATTACAGTCAGATTAATTTCTTGAAGTGTAAATGTGGTTAGTTCGCTCGTGTAAAACTTGTATTGAGAATGTCTCCATTGGTTGAGTCATAAGATGTGTTTACACAGTGCATGGCCCTCTTAAGTGTTCAGCAAACAGCTCTCTTAAGAACATTATTTTTGAACAGGGAAAAGTTAACCACAGTCAGCTCTGATAAAAAGTGATGCAGGGGAAGGCTAGGAGAAAAGGTTTTAGATCAGGAGGGGAGCCCTGAAGGGGATTGGAGATGTTGTGCCTGTGCTCCTTTAAAGGCTGATCCCAAGCTTAGGGCACGGTGGTGCACACCTGCAATCCCAGAGTTTGGGAGGCTGAGGCAGGAAGATGGAGAGTTCCAGGTGAGCCTAGGCTAGAGAATGAAACCCTGTCCATTCCATAATGCTGACTTGTACTGTGTCTTTCCATTTGATCTACATGAACATAAGGTATTTGGACCTTTTTGGTGATAAAATTAAACTTTACATCTGACAGTGGTCTTAGAAAGTCTAGAGAACATCAATGAGTAGGCTACCTGGAACAAATGAGTCCAAACAGAAGAATGCAATACTGATGTTTTACTCACGAATGAGGAAACAACAGGATTGATCTATTTAAAGACACTTGACTTAGGAATTCCTATTAACCTTTCAAGGACCCATTAAATAAGAGATAAAGTGATCTATAGTAGGGTTCACCAAACTGATTCATGGTCACAGTCTCAATAACAGTTTTTGTATGGCTTATGATCTAAAATTTTTAAAAATGTTTTTAAGGGTTAGGGGCTGAGTGCAGTGGCTCATGCCCGTAATCCCAACTATTCAGGAGGTGGAGATCAGAGAATCACAGTTTGAGGCCAGCCCACACAAAAAAATTAATGAGACCCCATCTCAACAAGTAAGTTGCACATGATGACGTACACCTGTGATTACAGCTATATAGAAGGCTTAGGTAGGAGAATCACAGGGCCCCGGGCAAAGAGTGAGAGCCTATCTTAAACAATTAACCTAAGAGCAAAATCAGGCTGGATTCGAGGGTCAAGTTGCAGATTGCTTGCCTAGCAATCTGCCCTTAAGTTCAAGCCCTGGTACTGGCAAAAAGTAAAAGTATTTGTAAGTGATTAAAAAAATGAAAAGAATATTTCCACCATGATAATTACATGAAATTTAAATTCCAATGTCTACAAAGTTGCATTGGCACACAGCCACACTCATTCATTTCCATGTTGTCTGTGGTGCTCTCAGGGTACAGCAGCAAAGTGGGGCAGCTGTGATAGAGACTGTATGGCTCAGAGCCAAAGTGTCTTCCGCTGTAGAGTGCTTGTCTGTGTGAACAGAGTTTTACTGAACTGCCACCATGCCCACTTTCTCACCTGTTGTCTTTGGCTTTTTTCACAACAGTGGCAGAGTTGACTAGCTGTAACTGCAAAGCCTCAAAAATGTACAAAGTAGAGAAAAATGTATGAAAGTTCTTAATATTGGAGGAGTAATACAACTCTTACACTAAAAACAAGAAAAACTATAAAACAGTTTGTGAAGAAATGGAAGGAAATTATTAGCACTATAAGGAAATATGTCAATAAAAGTCAAAATAATGATTTTTGGATAAAATTATGCTATTAAAATATTTATAAAAATTATAATTCCAAAACAGAGTCTCGGGAGTTTTATATTTTCCCTGAAACATTAGGAAGCATAATGAAGCAAGAATATCCAGGGTAATTCTGAAATAGTTTTCTTTGGTATATAATATATGGTGTTTATTATTGGGGAAGAACATTTTGACAATTGTGTATCCACCTATCCAAGAAGGAAGAAGCACATTCATGCCTTACAAATAGAGATAAGAAAACTTAACATCTCTCATTATGAACTAACATGTTAGAGGCAAATAGAAAAGAGCAAGCCTTTACTAAGTAGTACATGTAGTCCAGGAAGCTGTGAAGGAAGAGAACAAGTTGACCTGTGTCAATATTTAAAATTTTGGCATGGTTCGAGTCACCTAAAACATGTAAAAGACAGTTGACAGAAAATGCCTTCAAGTTGTATAAAACACTGTTTTGGAACAGTGCTTTTATACATACAATACACGGGAGGAAAGGTGACTGCATACCACGAGCTGTGTCACAGCTGAAGCATCCAAACGAGTGATGAAAGCTTGTAACATTCTTAACCTCATTAACCAGAAAATACAATTGAAAATAAAATCTCTTCACTCTTAAATGGTTAAACCATCAATCTGTATGTCTGGTACTTGTATCTGTGGACAAACAGGTATTTGCTTGTCATTAGCAGTGTCAGTTTGTCTCCTGCCTTTTCAGATGGCAATAAGGCATGAGCTGCCACCACTACTAATGTGTGTTCCTTCCAAGACAGCAATTTCAGATCCAGGAATTTTATCTCACGGGAATAAATGAATGTATGTAATGTTTATTGTGGAATTTAAAAAGTTTTTTAAATGACAAATAGGAATTCTGTGTTCTGCCAAGCAGATTGATTAAATTTTGTGGTTATTCAATCTCATAGAAAGAGATTAAGCTATATGCCCACTTCTGTAGAGTTGTCCACAATATATTAAACATTTGCAGAACCTCGTGTGAAATGATCTGATAGTAATAGTCAAAGTTAGTACTGAACGCATACACTTGCATATATATGTTGAAATTCATTTTTGTTTTTAACACACATACTCTTCCTGGCTTTTTGTGAGCACTTTTCCTTTTTTCACTCTGTTGTGTTCTAATGAACACACCCTGATGTTAAGCCAATCAGATTTTTCAGTTTTGTATTTTGGGTAAGACACGGACAGGAGCAGAGCCAGTATTCAGTATCTGAACCAATATGTCCATAATGGATGTCTACTTTTAGTCAGCATTCATGGTGGTTGGGTGGAATCTTTACTGTGCCAGCTGTTAACCATATGGGAAACATCACTCCTAGGCTGGAAGAAGTTTGGATTGAGGCATCCTTTGTCAGAACCTATAGATTCGTGCATCTGTCCATGGGGCCCACTGAAATGATTCCTGCTTTCTTATATCCTGGCTTATTCATTTCTTTAAGTCTGTTATCTGACATTCTTCTAATATTTAATTTCTGATTTTAAGCTAAAGTTGAGTTCTTTTGTCCTCAACCAAAGAAAGCTAACCAATACAGAAACTGATACTAGAGAAATACTACCAAGCTATACAGAAATAAAGTAAGAAGGACTGATTATCGAGCCAGTTAAAGCAAGACAGAAAAACTCATGAGCATATTTTAGACTAGGCAGGAACATTCCTGAAATAGCAGGATCCTACGTCCGTTGTGCATTTGGAGCTGGTTAGCACCTACCAGAAACTAATGGTGACAAGGGATGCTACTTCCCAAAGTGTATGTGATACTTGTTTACACTGAAATTGGACAATTGAAATTAAAATTTCAAGTGCACTTGAAATTCCAACCTTCAGAAAGAAATCTAAATCAGGACCATTATGACTGTGTTGGGAAAATTCTCTTTATTGTTTCCAACCGTGGGACTGCAATTGCTAGAAACCAAGCACATTAGCAGATGCAGTTAGCTACTGAGCTATGACACTTACTGGATTCCCAACCATGCTACCTCTCTTAAGTAATGGAATAAAGCTATCAGGGATGATTCAGGAATCTTTGAAAACTTTGGCTCCCCCCTCAAACCTTGAGAAACCTCCCTGCTAATTCTATTTACCACACCTCCCCGGTAATTGAAAAATTAACTATCCCCACCATTATCACTCGACTGCTAACTAAACAATCAGAATTTAATATGACTTGTAGTTTGACATACAGAAAGACAGGGAGAAGACAAATATCACCCAGAAATATTTAATACCCTTTGTCAGTTATTCCATCAAAAAGCTAGAGAACATTTTTCAAAATACATTTTTTTGAGTTAGGCATTACTTTGCATAATATATAAGGACTTGAGAGAATTCCAGGACTTATGATGCTGGATGGGAACATTTATGTCCGTGCCCCTCAGCTTCCTCAAAGTCCTAAGAGGACCCAATAGCCTTTCCAAGTTCCTTTGACATGAAGCACCAGCATCTTTTAAAATGTCCCAGTGTCTCTTTGATATTGAGACTTCTTGTGACAGTGATTTCTTTTGGAAAGGGTATCCAATCTCGAACTGTGGCATGAGTAGTAACTAAAGGATAGGCAGCAGGTAACTTATGAGAATGAAATGATCATAAAAACACTGAAAATACTCTGATTTCTTATTATTTCCCCTCTGTTTAATACTCAGTCCCTAGGTGGAAACTGCACTAAGATTTTGTCTTAATTAAAAACACCCAATGGGAGGAGGGAGCTGGGAGCTTAGTTCAGTGATAAAGCACACACTTAACATGTGTGAGGCCCAGCATGAAAAGCAAACGAAAACACTCCATGGCACTCATGGTATTCAGTCTCATGTTGACTTAAGTCAATGACAATGGCCTGGGTGATTTTGAGTGAGTGTACTTATCATCATTGATCATTTCCAGTGCGGCTTCTACAAGAGATACATTTGTGCAGAATGAGAACTTACGGAGTTCTTTATAAGAGTATTTTATAGCAGGTCCATTAAGACCATATTTTGGTTTTTTTCTCAGGTTGCAGATACCCTTTAATGGTATGTCTTGGTTTTGGGATTGGTTCTGGGATATGGCTGCTAGGCAGGTTCTACACTACCCATCCATACTTGCTTCCAGTTGTGGATATTAGACTAATATTCTTCAGTGTGTAGTGGATGGAAGTGATAATTCACTTGGAGTTTGGTTATTAAGATTAGGACATGCTACCCAGCTGAGAAAAGTATCTTAATTTATATGGCATGGCAAAGCTAAAAGATATAAAAACTCTGTGTCTCTAAACCACTATGGAGGAAGGCCCCCAGTCA